GTGTAGCTACATAGTAAGCCATCCCACCCAACATGGAGTATGTAGATGCATGTGGTGCCTCGCATGTAGGTTATAATTAACGTCAGCCATGCTACACAAGGTCACTGGTTCGATCCACCGCCTTAGTTTGTGTGGGGTTGGTGGAGCTTGGTCTTCAAACATATACACACACTGTGGGGGGTTGATGGTGTTTGGTCTACCCTCCTCCCACACTCTCTGAGGACTGGTGGTATTTGGTCTAAACACACACACACACACACACACACACACACACACACACACACACACACACACACACACACACACACACATAGATTCAGAGGTATGCCACCAGACTGGTCCCGGAATTGAGAGGTATGAGCTACCAGGAAAGGTTAAGGGAGCTGAACCTCATATCCCTGGAAAACAGAAGAGTAAGGGGGGCAGATAGACCTACTGACCCGCATGATAAAATGCATTTGTAAAGGTTTTCGACAAATCTAACCAAGATATCACACTGTGTTGTATAACACTGTATTGTGCTGCAAAGTTCTATTGTATGCATTTACCTTGTGTTGAATTATATTACGTTATGCTGTATTGTATTTCATTGTTCTGTATTGTATTTAATTGTGTAACTATTTTCTATAATATTGTATTGTATACAATTATATTTACAAATTGGAATATTTATAGACGAGATAATTCTCCAACTAAAAAAATAATTGAAAACCATTTAAACAAATTAATAATTATTTTTGTTCTGCAAAGCGATGGCTAAGAGGCGACATTTTACAAATAATGAAATCCAAGACCTTGATAATCTTAATTTAGAAAAATAATTTAACATTGAGATATTATTTATACGCAACAATGGTATTAATGATATTGGAAAATGATTTCCGCCATGATAATAAAAATAAGTTTTGTTTAATTCGATGGTGGGGAAATGTAACAGTTTACAAGGCAACAGTTATCGTTACAAGACACAAGTTATCGTTACAAGACACAAGTTATCGTTACAAGACACAAGTTATCGTTACAAGACACAAGTTATCATTTCAAGACACAAGCCACCGTGACCCGGGTGTTGGAGCAACAGTTTCGTATATTAACCAGAGTTCCAGTCTTCGATGATCTACATAAGCAAGTGAAAACAAAAACAGGTTTAATTAATAGATTTTCTTGTGATCCGCAACTCATCCAATGCCACCTTAAGAAAGCCCCGAGTCAAGAAATTCTCTCCTCGATAATTTTTCTCAACGTCAAAGCTAATTGATTTGATTATTTTTTCAAGTAGGAATAAGACGATCGTCATTTAAGGGTTATCCAATAATATCCTTCTCGTCACACGTCTGCAAGTAATCGTTTTTAGAGATTATTAGTCTTTGAATATTAAATAATGTTTACAGATATTTGCAATGCATCATGTCGGAGGAAATTATTACGCACAGAGACTGTGCTGTTACTGATACTGTGATCGACATCTCACGGTGTTTAAGAAAGAACTTGATAAATCGACTTGAGAATGGTTCAGGACGGACCGAAACGTCGTCGTCTCTTCACTTTCTAGTGTGTGGTTTGGTCAACTTGATAAACATCTATAAGGCATACCTCATCAGCCAGACTGTGATTCATACGTCAGGCTGCGAGCAGCTGCGTCCAACAGTCTGGTTGACTAAATCATCAACCAGGAGGCCCTGGTCGAAGAACAGGCCGTAAGGACGTTGATCCCTAAAGCCAACAGCCAGCCAGTAGTCAACAGGTAGACAGGTACTTCAGTTACCTGACACTACAGTCTGGCTGGTCACAAACCACTCGTAGTTTGACGTGTGTTTGTGTTGACTCGGTTGTATGCGCGCGCGTGGATTTGTTTCTAGTACCATATCTTGCGAAATGTTAAGTTCATGCTCGTGTACCTTGACCTTAACATTTCGTAAGATATAGAAAACTTGATTATTAAAGAACAACAGCAGCACTATATTTGCTATACAGGAGACAAATCCTTAACTCTGATTTCACAACTACAAGAAGCTGTTCAGAAAAAAATATATTTTCTTTTTTTATCACATTGTAGGAAGATATATGTTCCTGACGTGTACCAAAGTCTTTCAAGGAGAGTAATATCTCTCGAAATGATCGAGAAAATATCACAGAATCTTAAATTCAGTCGAATATATCACAGAAACATAAATTCAGTGGAACATGTTCACTCTAGCAAACAATTGCCTTAGAAACCTCAAGTGAGCAACCCTGGCGGAGGTGCGAGACTTGGCGAGCCTCGAACCTTGCACTGGGAAAATCATTCGACGTGTAAATACCACGACCACTGCAGGAGTTTCAGTGCTAATCGTGTGTGCTGGCGAGGGGGGGCTCCACGAGTCGTTAATCTGGATTATCTACCTTCCCTGTAATGACGGCTACAATTAGGTGGTAGCTGCTGCCTCTGTCTTAAAGGTGCCTCGAACACCACCACAACTACCACCACTTCGACTAGTACTACTACTATTACTACTGCGATGTTATTGTTACTATTACAACTAGTAATGCAGCATGGCAGAACTATGGTTCTGCTACCATTACTACTGCTGTTTTTTTTTACTACAACCACAACGTAACTACTATACCGACCACCACCACCACTATCACCACCAAAACAATCACAACCACAACTAATGTTGGAACACTCGTCAATAAACTTTCCCAATGTAACATCGTCCAGTTGGTGTGTATGTGAACTTTTGAAAATGTTAATATTCGTAATGAATATTTACATTCAAAATTCTCCTTCTTTTCTAATTATCTATATTACAATAATTGCTATAATTATAATATTAATAATAATTATTATCATCATATCAAAGGCATCATTGACTATAATACATTTTCTCGCACTCGAAATAAAATATTATACTAGCGCTGAAAATTAAAACGAAAATACATTAATTTAGATTATAATATAAATCTTGACGTGACTCGAGACTTAAGCTTCATAGAATAATGATAGAATCAATATGTCTTGTCCGAGCACTATATCATTTGTTTGTCTGACGTCCGGGGTCTCAACAGTTTATATTTTATATATATATATTATATATATAGAGAGAGAACAACACAGTTTGTCAACACCACTTGAACGTTACTACATGGACGGGTCAACACGTGACAACATCAGTATGGGTCCATCACCACTCACAAGATGGGTATGGGTCTATCACCACTCACAAGATGGGTATGGGTCCACAACCACTCACAAGATGGGTATGGGTCCATCACCACTCACAAGATGGGTATAATATATTAAAAATACTAAACTAAAAAATCTAAATAGCTGATGACGTTCGAAAGAGAAAATTTAGCTGATGTTGAGCTTATAAGGCCTATCACCCTCCGAAAATTATTATAATATCATACTGACCAAACAGCAACTATACTTTAATACTGAACGTAATCCACAACTAAATTAAACTCCAAGTGTATGTAAACTACTGCATGTGTATTTACCAGAATTTATCTATGAACTCTCATTGACAGGACACACCAAGCATTTACGCCATCAATACGATGCCTGCGCATCTTTGCTCAATTATAGCGGTTGTATATATTTTCGTTGTATATATTCCTTGCATTATAGCTGGAGTGTTAGTGGAAAATAAAGTGTAAACTGTGATAACTGGCTGTTAGTTCAGCTTCATTATATTTTTATAATACTTTTGGTGAAAATTCGTTACGTAGTAATTTAAATCCCCAGTATATTTTGTAGAATATATGTACAATTTACACACAATTGGAAAATAATTGTACATTATATTTTCTTGTTATTTTTACATATAAAAAAGCAAAATATATAATAAGATATGTAGATCGACCGTAATTTAAGAATTACATTAGTTTGCCATGACTAATATTGAACATTTTCTGTTAAGGCAAGACTGATGGCATTGCCCGTTTTCTGTGGTGATATTTATAACTTGAACAGAGTTTATTTATTTATACGGACTACGGATTATATACAATTACTGTACCAGGGTGGACGATATATTTACAATACTATATATTCCTAGATGAAGTACAATCCAAATGTTTCAAAAGTATGAAGGCTATGACACATATATCCTCTCCCGAGTCGAGTCCGCGTTCAGCTTCCGAAGCAGATCCGATATTTTTTTTTTATATAAAAAAGTTCTTACATTCTTCTATAGCCACTAGCACGCATAGCGTTAATCCGAAATTTTCCGCGGCATGCGTCTCGATAAGTCTTTAAACAACTAGTTCACTGCTGGGTGAACAGAAGCTACAGTTAACGATTGGCACCCGGTCAATTCTCCCCGGTCAGAATACGAACTTAGGCCAAAGCGCCTGGCGAATATTTTACCACTGCGCCACAGGGACTGGTAATGTGTTAATGACGATGTGCATATTTTATCTATGTCAAAGTCATTGTTGCTTAATAAGTAGTATTAAGCCAGAGGATTTTCTAGTCTCTCAACAAGGATTTTCTCAAACAAAAAAAATCATTCCAACGGTTGATTAGTTTAATGTTGGGCTTAAACCCTATATATGAACCTCTGGAAGGTTATTATGGCCACTACAATCGCTTTTTGACCAACTGCAAGAATACTTTTGACCTGAACAGAGTAAATTCTCAGTGCATATACAACGAGAGGGGAGATATACACTATCCGGGGCTCACATTCATATGATGAGAGCAAGGATACTGACCTATTGCTTTATATTTTGTTATTAATGTCTTGCTGCAATCCTTGCTTTCTTCCAGATTAGTGGTCTCGTTTAGTCTTTATTACTTTTACCAATTTGATTTTTTTTTTCAGGCGATCAGTAATATATTTCAGAAATAAACAATCAGTTTATTTCAGAAATTACCTGACTCTTCTATTTTGATTAAAAGATTTGTATTATTTTGAAACATATTGCTTTCTCTACTGAAGTGAATTAATGTATATATAGAAGAAGATAGGTTCCCTTTTTGTTTTAAACCGTTCATTATTTCTGTTCTGCAGGTGCTGAGGGGCTGGCGGCAGAAGTACGAGTTCCTGTTGGGTATAGTGAAGGAACCCGGGCGCCTGCTGCCAGAGTCCCTGATGAAGGAGATACAGATGGTCGAGGTCAAGCGGCAGGGGTACGCCATCGAGCGGGCGCTGGTGCAGGCCAACCTTGAGACCTGGGAGGCCACCATGGGCGGCAACAAGGGCAAGAAGCTGGTCGACAGGTACGTACGCTGAATAAACCCACCTGCACTTATACGGACCAGTTCGTACGCTCACGTACATTTTGTACCCTATCAGGCAACGGGCAGTTTTTGTTCGTACGCTCACGTACATTTTGTACCCTATCAGGCAACGGGCAGTTTTTGTTCGTACGCTCACGTACATTTTGTACCCTATCAGGCAACGGGCAGTTTTTGTTCGTACGCTCACGTACATTTTGTACCCTATCAGGCAACGGGCAGTTTTTGTTCGTACGCTCACGGACAAGTCTGCGCTATCCCAGACACGTTCGCAAACTTGTAGACATGTGCGTATTCTCACGAAGAAGTGTAAATACTCATGGTATGTCTTATCCTCATGGACAGGTCTTAACTTCAATGAGAGGTCTTACCCTCTTGGAAGGACTTAGTTTCTTGTTCAGGTCATAACCCTCATGAACAGGGTTTAGCCCCGTAGGTAGGCCTTAGCCTCTTGGGCATATCTACATCAAGCTAGATTAGCAAATTCAGGGAGTATTCTTCCTGCCAAGAGGGTCCCAAGTTCATTACCCGCCGCAGGGCAGAAGTGCTTGGGCAACGTTTCCTTTCAGCTGATGTCTCTATCCATCTTAAAGCACATATGTACCAACTGCCATCAGTAGTTGGCCTAGATGGACCTCAGCAACGCAAAACTATAATGAGTTACAACAAAATGCATATTTTTCAAATAAGGGTTACACGAACATTTGATTTAGTTATCCATGCATTTGATAGAAAATTGCATTATCATCAGTGGTACTTTAGAAAACGTTCCCAATAGCAAGGAAGACTAGCATAGTTTTATCTTCATATTTTATTTGTATATACAAGAGTTCTTTCATTCTCGTAAATACACTAGCACACATAGCGTTTCGTTATCGGTTTCGGCATTACTATATAACGCTTCCGAATATATAATAATAAGTTGACAATCGATTTGAGAATGGTCCAGGACGGACCGAAACGTCGTCGTCCCTTTATTTTCTAGTGCGTGGCTGAAGTTACCATACTTCAGCCACGTTATTGTGACTCATCGCCTGCATTTAATAATAAGCTTTAATATAGATAAGGGAGTACCACCTCTGGCTGGAAGAAGGGGACCCTTGGCCTCGGAGGAAACCACACATAACGCATTAGAGGGAATGTTTAGGTCCCCTCCAATACAGCTTTAATTGAATATTTTATGTTGTATAAATTATTATATATGTGTATGTATTAAGTCAACTCTCGTATCACGAACGGTTGAGAGCCACATGGCTAACAACACTGTAAACCGGCATGACATGGCGGATTTCATTGAAACCTTTAAAATACTGATAAATTTGGAGGATGTTGATCCGGACAATTTCTTTAAAAGGTCAGATGTAACACAAACGAGTAGAAACGGTTTCAAGCTCAACAAGCCACAATATAGGACTGAGAACAGAAGATGCTTTTTCACCCATAAGGTTATTAACCCATGGAACCACCTACCCGCCGAAGATGTAAATGCCAAAACACTGTTGGGTTTTAAAATACAACTGGAAAAGATCACCAGGGCAAATGGGGGGACCTTTGACAAGCCACCGGCTTCCTGTCCTAGTATTAGTCACCCACAAATAAATTCGAGCACTTTTTTATTTTTCTAAAACACAAAAAAGAAAAAATGAAAAAAACTTTATGCACCGTAATGTTTTGCTCCTGATATCAATGTTTTTATTTATATTTTTTATTTATATTTGTTATAAATTTTTGAAGTGAATTAATTATTTAAAGACTATTAAAGTTTAATTTTTATTAATATATGAAACACTTTTTGATAACAGATGTATTATTTATTTTGATATACCGATTTATATTACTTTTCGTTAAAAATATTACTGTTAACACTCAGTTTACATCAATAATTGAACAAAGGTTCATGTCAAATGACATGACTTTAGAGGAACAGGTTATCCCTGCTCCTCATGTCACGAGATGCCCCTCATTACAATGAAATAACTAGTAGGATATCCATCGAGCCAATTACATGTCATGAAGGATACACTAGTGGAAAAGGATATGCTTCATATCAATGACATGACTAGTGGAGTAGGATATCCTTCATGTCAATGTTTGCCGACGATAACAAAATATGAGACAACAGAAGTCTATGGCAGAATATTCCAAGTGGACTTCAGACAACAAAACTAGAGAGATGGTTTGCGAATTGGCTGCTAGACTTTAATCCAAGTAAATGCAAGGTGATGGGATTTGGGACAGGGATGAGAAAGCTACAAGATGACTACACGATGATAAACACAAATTCGAGTCAAAAAAGTAAAAAAACAAATAACTGGAGGTATAAGCTAACTATTCAACCTCATGCAAAGTTTGTAAACATTCGTGAAGTCTTAGAACTTTCGTGCTATTTTATACGTCATATGTTAAACCAGAACTAAAATATGTAGCCGCAGTGTAGCATCTCCACCTGAAAAAACACAAAATAAAACAAGAGAATGTCCAGAAGTTTGCTACGAGACTGGACTCTGAACTAAGGGAACTGAGCCCCAGGGAAAGGCTGAGAGAAACCCTCAAGAAAAGAGTGGAAAAAAGGAGCAATAATATTACGTATATAAAAGTCGTCGAGACATTGATAAATTGGACAAAACTGAAATGTTTAGCAATAGCTGCGCGTCCTAAAGAGAATAAAGTCTGATCACTATTACTGCCTGAATCCTGGGGCATGATACACGGGCATGGCATGTGTCCTGGCGTAGGTCATCAGTATCGTCAGGTTTAGGGACATATCAACATCAGCATCGTCCGATCCAGAGACAGATCAGTATCAGTATCGTCCGGTCCAGAGACAGATCAGTATCAGTATCGTCCGGTCCAGAGACATATGAACATCAGCATCGTCCGGTCCAGAGACAGATCAGTATCAGTATCGTTCAGACCATGGACAGATCAACATCAGCATCGCCTGCATGGATCAGAGCAACACCGGAATGCCGGTATACTGGGTAGACCAACACCAGCATGCCCGGAACAGGAGCAGATCATCACCCAGCATCACCCGTGTTCTGGTAGAAATAGAGAACCACACCCAAGTTTCTTACCAGGTCGGGCGGAAATGACTAGTTGCTTCTGCTTTATACCGTGCAAGATCTCCAGACTAAGATCCCACCTGCCCCATACTTACCCCACACCTACCCAATACCTCTCTCATACCTGCCCCCACACCTGCCCCATGTCTCAAACACTCCTGCCAAGCTTCTGCCGCACCCTAAATTCAGGCTCCGCCTCCTAAATGAGACTCAAGTCTCGAGGGGTCTTGGAAGATAAATACAAAGACATTCACAACATGAAAGACAGACACAGAAGAGCCAAGTGTATTGAGACACAGTACATACTTCGTGCCGTAAATGAGATACAGATACAAACTCCGGGTTCTATAAAATAGACACAGACAGCTGTATAAAAATAGACCACAGAACCTCACAATCATAGATTGGCATAAGGTAAAGGCTCACACCAAGGCGTTAAAGAGAGTAAGATTCACAAAGGTTGTCAGACCTTGTCAGAGTTGTCAGAAGATAATTTATATTCTGTTTTTAATGTTTACTACGACTATTATTATTATTATTATTATTACTATTAGTCACACTAAACAGTTATCAGTGTCCCTGTCATCTGGCAAAAACAGTTCTATTGTTAACATTCCAGTAATACAATGCACAACAGCTTCATGGTATTTCCTGTCCGTCACCAGCTTCCCCTTCTGCTTTCTGTATACCTATCCTCATACTGTCCACCCGCCAACTGTAACCTATCTTCTTGTCCCGACACCTACCGTAACCTATTCTATCCATCCACCTAACCTATCCTCCCGTTCACTACCCCACCGTAACCTACCCTGTCCAAGCACAGCAATCTATCCTCCTGTCCACCCGTTAAACCATAACCTATCCTCCTCCTGTCCACGGCTCACTAGTCGCATACGATTTCCCCAGCATAATTAACCAGTTGGGTTTGGAATCCAAGGAAGCCACACCCACGGAAATTGGTGATCACAGACACCAGCATCACCATGACGGGCTCAGTTTGTTCTAGACAAAGGCTTATTGTTCGGTGTGTGACGAGGAACAGTTCAATAATGGTAAGGAAAATCCAATAAGCTGAAAATTTCAAGAGGTTAAAGATTAAAGGTTATGTGAGTTATTCATTTGTTTGAACTTTTTTGAGCGCTTTCAGGACTTTTTTTTTAATGCAGAAAGAATATTGATTGATTAGGATTGTGTTGTGTTGAGGCATATTGAGATTAGGGAATTGTTTACATCACTGGCTTCAGTAAATTGCGTTTCTTTGTTTTAGTTTGTGTGTGTGATATGTGAGTGTGTATGTATGCTGGATATGTGTGTGTTATGTATATGTAATGTGTGTTTACTATCTAAAAAGAAAAAGTTTTAAAAGAAGGTAAAGAAGACTTCGGAAGGTTATACCAAACACGATTACACTAAGGAACAAACATATATAAAGCCAATAATTTTACAGTTGAATTAGTTTATTAAGGACTCAATCCTCATGGTATGGGCGGTGGTGGAAGTGTGACAACCACTCATATTATTCACCATATATAATTCTCTACGACATCTAAGATCTATCTGTTTAACTAAGGAGGGATGAAACACAAACTCTTAGACATGGAGGAAGATATACATACCGGAGGCTCCTCAAATGCAGGCTATGAAGAACATTGTATAGCAGCTGTTTGAGGCAGGTCTGATAAGTTTGAGGCTTAGTTTAGTGCTGAGTTCCAGGCCTGTCAACCTCTGGAGGGTTATAAAGGTCACCACAATTGATTACTAACCAGCCAGCACGTTTACTTTAGTTCTGAACATAGTCTAGGACTAAAGTAAACTCTCAGTGTACATGAAGAAGCGAGGTATACCTCTCGGTATCGATATACTCAGACTTGGTATGCTTGTAACTGCGAGTCTGGTGACTTCGCAGTGATGGAGGAC